TTCTGTGTGACTTCTCTTCTGTCACTCCTGGGATTTGTGGCCACTCCAACTCCCTCTCCACTCTGTCATCACTATAGCTGCCACCAGTGATCTCAAACTATCCTTGAGCCTTTGCCTCAGTCTTTGCAGAGTTACATCTCAGATGAATTGTGATCGCCAAACCTAGGTCATATTCTGACTTTAGTGCCAGGGACAGAGTTAGGGCATGTATGCTTATTTTGGTTTTTGAAGTGGAGGAGGGGGCCTTCCACCCACATTGATTTAGACCCTAAATAGGAAGAGTATTTGTATAAAAAGTAGCCAAGGCCAGTAAATGCCTATTCACTGTTATCATTACACAAGATTTACATGTTCTTCCTATGTCTTCACTAAGCCTCCTCTCAAACAAAACAAAACAACAAAAACTCCCTGGTTACCACAATGTATCTTCACATATAAACCAAAGTACTAGGTTTCTCTCTAAAGGGAGACAGACTGGAGACTCATTCATTACCACATCTAGATCTCGAATCATCATCATTCCATCCTCTATCCTCATGGTTCTATCTCTATACTTTATAAACCATAGAGGTGTACTGGAGTTAGCTCAGCCTAGAGTTCAGTGACTGGTCACTACACATAGTCATTGTTCAAAATGACATTATATACACTTATAATTAGATAAATTATATTAAAGGCAAAAGTAGTAAATATTCAAAACTCATCAACTATCTAATTATTTTGCTACATTTTCCTATTAGCTGCACTCTTGGGATTATGTGCATCTACTCTATCTGTGGAGGATATATTATAAAATGATGTTCTACTGAATGTCACCTTCATTCTGTGTTTAGGGACATGTATCAGTCAGTATTTACTAAAGAAACAGATATAACACAAGACATATAAATATATAAAAGAATTTATAAGATTGGTTTACAGTTCCTAGAGGTTTTAGTCGATAATTGGCTGACACCAAGGCAGGAATTGCAAACAGGCATTGCAGAGGAGAAACAACATGGCACCCACATGGTGACAAAGGCAGCAAGGCACCTTCATCGCATCTTTCTTCCTCTTTCATAACAGGATATCATATTAACAGGACATTATATTAGTGGCATGAAATTGGCCACAGTGAGAGTATTTATACACAAAAGACTTCTTTCTCTCTTCCTTTCCTTTCCTTCCCTCATCCTTTCCCTTCCCTTCTCTCTTCCCCCTTCCTTTCTCCCTTCCTCCCTCCCTCCCTCCCTCCCTCCCTCCCTCCTTCCTTCTTTCCTTAGATTTAAGAAAATGAAGGAAATGTTAATAGTGGTCATTAGGGGCTGGGGATTTAGCTCAGTGGTTCTGCCGCCTGCCTTGCAAGCACAAGGTCCCGAGTTCGAGCCCCAGTACCAAAAAAAAAAATAGTGGTCATTAAACTTAAAAATACATTATGTCCACAGCAGCTACATTTTAAATAGGATAAAAATTGAGGAAATAGTCTCTGGTATTTGAAAATCTATCTCATTCAGCAATGAAGTTTTTCATGTTGTTATCAAACAAGTGAGGTCCGACATAACATCTTCACTGTTTTACTTCCATCTTACTAGTTAACAACAACAACAAAAATCTACAAACATATCAGACACATACTACTTCATCAAATGCAATCAGGGATTGGCTGTGGACATAAGGGTGTGGCAAGTCCACGAAAGCAGGCTTTAAGACTAAGTTTGCTTCACTGAATTTATAATAGAAAATATTGTACTTCATTGTTTGTGAATTGTGAGCAGCACATTCTTTTTATCAGCACAATTTACAATGAATTCATGCATTTTGTTTTCTGGAAAGCTGGTTGTTAAAAATTATACAACACATCAGTGCCTATGGATTAAATTATAAAGTTTATCACTACATCAATAAAGGAATATCATCAATATAAATGAAAAACATAAATCCTCTCCAAATTATATACAAGGTGAGAAGGAATAGGCCTTATCAGATTTGAAAGTATCTTCTCCTGTCCTGGGTGCTTTTCACTTTTTGGGGGGCGGGTACTGGGGAGTGAACCCAGTACCTTCATACTAAGTCACCAAATTGTCCAGGTTGGGCTTGAACTTTTGATCCTCCTGACTCAGCCACCCAGAGTGCTAAGATTACACACTTGGGCTACTGCACCTGGCTTTCCTTTTCACTTCCATGACTCCTGATATTCTGCCTTCTGCCTCACCTTCTTTGAAACCTAAACTTGGAGTTCCCCTGAAAGCAGATGTACTGTTTTGTATAAAGGTCAGTGCTCAGGGGAAGCCAAGAATCTCAGAAGGGAGGAAATAGTTAATCACTTAGTCTGAGGGAAGCAGCGATGTTCAGATGAGTGATAATTAAACAAAAGTTCTGAATTCAATCAAGAGCCAATTTTGGCATCTGCAGAGATTCAATTAGCTGTGATTACAGCCAGAAACTGAAAAGTCTATGCCTTCAGGGCCTTAGCCCGCATCATGTTCAGGTCCAAGGGCAGTGTCTGGAGTGCTGGGTGGTGGCGGCCCTTCCAGACAGCTCATGGCCTGTTGTGCCATGGCAGGGGTAGTACTTCAGCCAGAAAAAGCAGGTCCTTTTCTCTGGCTAGGCCTCAATAAGCCCGAACCATCTGGGGCTAAAGCTTCCTCTGTAGTTTGGCTAAGGAGCTCTGTTGCAAAGTTGGACCAATCTATTTCCCTTTGGCAGGTGTGTGTTTTTAGCACCTGCACACTTCTCCTGGGCAAGCATGGTCTCAGGGTGGACTCTTCCTAAGGTTTCATCTTGAAAACTGCCAGAAAGAGCAGGGCAGCATGCTGGGGACAGCCCTGAATAGAGGTGCTGGTGGTCTTTTTTCTGTTTTTTAAAAAATTTGCATTGAGCACCATGTATCATGGGATCTCACAGAGTAGATGTAATTTTGTTACATGATGAACACCTGTTGGGATGGTCATTGTTACTTTCTTCACTCTATACAGGAGGAAACAAACTCTTGTAAGCTCTGAGTGGAGGAGCTAGGCCTGTTTGACTTGAGATTCTGAGCTCTTTCCATAGAAAGCTTCATTTTGGGATAAGCTGACTATACTTGAGTTATACTTCAACAAAGCTGTTAAAAGAAATATTACCTGAATGGTTTTCCACTTGGGGTGCTCCATTGCCCTCCTTTTCCCTTGTAGATACAAGTTCTGACAAGTAGGACTGTGATTGTCCTTTGGCATGAAGGAGAAAGAAATATTTTTATTTGTTGAATTTCATTTCTGTTTCTTGCAAAATTTTTCCCTAGCCTGGATAAAAGGAAACAAATTTCTTTCTAATTTACTCTTCTCTCTGTCTTCCCCCTTCTGAAAATGTTGCTTTTAGGACCATCCATTATGATGCATTCCATCCTCCACTTTTCCCGGGCACCAGTCCAACTCTCCTCCATCTCCTCCATCCTGCCTGAGGCAGTCATCACAGACAGCATGGCATCACAGTGATTGCTTTCCCTAAATCAGGGAATAATCTGGATAAATCTCTAGCCCCTCTATAAAGCTCTAGGCTCTGATGTGAGGGGAGCAAAGGAAGAGTAAATGACTATGAAATCTCTTGGCTCTGCCCACCCAGTCAGTTCCTAGACCCTAACAACCATAGTCGAACTTCATTTAAAGTCTGGTGAATCTCTTTAGCTCTCAAGTCTCCAAGTCCATTCTCTGTCTGCTTTTTGGTTTTGCTATCATCCTTTCAGAATTTCTAGCCACATTTTCCTGCAGAGAGTAAAAAGCCACAGTTTTACCAATCTTCAACCATACAGAGACCTTGGGAGCCTTCTGGAAGCACTTGCAGAAGTGAGATCATGCTTGCCCTCAGTCGAGCTAAGAAGATGGATGGCTACCTTTAGTAGATGAGGAAGTGAGGGTGAGTGACAGGCAATATCACATGAAATAGACCAGATGAGGATTTAGATAAGTTATCATACAAGGTTGTGGCTCTGTCCTACTTTAGCCATGCCAGGGTCACACTCAAAGTTGATCTGAGCCAAGATGAGACAGGCCGGGGTTCACACTGTCTGGATCAGCCTAGTTTAATGTCTAGTGCCTGAGGATGGATGGCCTGTCTGCTGCAAAAAGGCATTTTAGCCCCTAGGAGCTGACCCTGCACCCCTTTAAATAGGAGGGCTGACCTGTGTTCTATATTCTCTAGATCTTCCCTTATCCCCCACCCCCCATATGGCTCCCCTAGGAGCCCTGCAGCTTTTTCAATAAAGAGCCGTGAAAGCTAAATAAAGGACCTACATCATAGCTCATCTGGTCTGTGTATATATAAGTCCCAGCTGGTCGCTCAACCATACCATGCCTTCAATGAGTTTTTCTCAGAAAAAGGACAGTCTTAGTCATTGTGGGCTGCCATAACAGCACTAATGGCTTAAACAATAGAAATTTATTTTCTAACAGTTCTGGAAGCTGGAAATCCAAGATCAAAGTGTTGATAGGTTTGGTTACTTCTGAGTCCTCTGTCCTTGTCTTGCAAATGTTCACTTTCTTGCTCTGTGTTCATCTGATCATCTCTGTATCCACGTGTCTGATTCCTTTCTCTGGATCTTCATCTCCTCTTTTTATATGGACACTGGTCAGATTGGATTAGATTTTAATTTAATTACATTTTCAAAGGCCCTATATCCAAATATAGTTACATTCTGAGGTACCAAAGTTTAGGACATATGAATTTCAGAAGCACAAAATTAGGCCCATAAAAGGTACAAATTCCCAATTGGGTACATGGAGGTGTGATCTGTGTTAGACATCTTGGTTGTCTTCACTGAGGTCACATCCTCTAAATCTTAGCCCTAGGCTCGGTGAAAGCTGAGCTCACCTGGTACATATGAACCTTCTGTGCCATAGGGGTTGCCCTGTGCAGGCTTCTCAGAGGTCTTTCATTTAGGTGGGGCCAGATATAAGGAAGTTACGTCATTGGGAACATGCTCTTCAAGGAGATATTGGGTCCAAGGCCTCTTTCTGAATTTCTCTTTGCTTCCTCTCTGCCACAAGGTGAGTAGCTTCTCTGCTACACACTCCTACCATGATGGACTATGCTGCCACAAGGCCAAAAGTAATGGAGCCAAATGACCAGGAAGTGAAACCTCTGAAATTGTAAGTCAAAATAAATTTTTTCTCTTTAAAGTTGTTTATCTTGTGTATTTAGACACAGTAATGGAAAGCTGACTACCACAAAGAGCTTAAATAAACTGTTTTCTTCTATGCAGAATAAGGATGCTAGGCTACAGAATGTTTAAGACCCCTCAAAAATCTAACAGGATTCCACTGGTGGATGGACAAGGAAAAAAGGTGAAAATGGCCAGGATGGCTGATAAGGGAGATGTTTATCAGAGTCAGATTCCATTTAATTTTCTTGGAGAATACCTTCCATGAAAGTACCTTCTTTAGATAATTACCATTGTAATGATCATTAAGACTTGGAACTCATGGGGAAGTATCAGACTGGCCCATTGTTATCCTTTATAGACTTACTTAGGTGTACAGATTGGTAGACAGTATGGAAGGTTACAAACAAGAAAAAACTGGGTTTGAATTCCAGCTCTGCTATTTACTAGCTGTTATGGTTTGGATATAAAATGTTCACTAAAAGTCTTAAGTTCACAGGCAGGGCCTGGTTGGAGGAGGGAAGTTTTTGAAGGCATTATTGAAAAGATATATCCATGTTACAATCCCACAGTCTGTCAAGTAACATGTTTCGGGCTATTTGACTAACGTTTTACAAAACAGCTGAGAAGATGAGATAGAGACTTATCATAAAAGACTTTCTTGAATAAAGCAAATAAGTCCACTGTGGAGTTGAAGTGCAATAAAAAATTTTACTGCAATATTAGATATTTTATTCCTTGATATAGTTTACTTATGTGCAAATGACTTTAAAGGAATAGCCGGGGAGTATTAAATGTTCTAACTAATTAAATAATGCAACTAATTCTAATTATGCCATTGACATCCACTGAGCTATAGAAAATGTAGCTTGAAAAAAAAAACACCCAAGACAATTAATTAATGTGGTAGGCACTGCTGCCATTTCCAATTTCCTTGATGAAGCTGGATGGGCTATGTGTAAAAAGGAGTTAAATATCACGACTAATAAATGATCTTTTTGCTTGAGAGAAAACTAGCTCTGAGAAATGTTGAAAGCCATGGTCATAATTGTATCCTGGGGGGCGGGTTTCTTTGTTTCTCTGGAAATAGGAGGAGTTTCAGGACTGAGATACAATGTAAAAATTTTAAAAACTAGTGCTAGAATACTGTAGCTCAGTATTAGAGTATTTGACACACACACACAGATTTTAAAAATTAATTTCTTTCTAGTAACTTAGTTTCCCCTTGCAGATCTGTGACAGGGTTAGAGGGTAGTGAGAATTGTACTGCTTGGGAACAGCAAACCACTAAGACACAGACTCACTGGCCTGGAATTGATAAGAAATCTGGACACAGCACGCAAAGAATCAGTGACAAGAAACAGGCAGGGCTTTCTGGTTCCAGAACAGAATTCAGTTATTCATGGAAAAAAAAATCACTAAAAAGCAAATACCAAGCCCCAAAACAAAAGGACAACATTGTATTATGACTACTACTAAACTCCCCCCTAGAATACATAAAATGGAACAAAGTAGGAGAAACCAGGACCTATAGCTTATGACCCTCCCAGTTCTCCTGGCTCTCAGTATGCCTTTGACCAGGCTGTCCCCGAGTTATCTTCTGTTCCTTTTGAGCTGACCTTGGACCTCTTTTCAACCTTGGGAGGGAAGGACTAAAGGGGACAAAGGAGCAGGCAAGCTTTTCATGTCTCTGGGTGATGCTGAGTGTCCCTGGGAGGAGCTCAGGATGCCTTAAGTACCTTACTCCCTGGAGGGTCATGGATAGGTCAAGCTACATTAAGAACCTATAGCTGAAGAGAGCAGAAGAAAGCCTGAGGAAGGCTGCCATCATCAGAGACCTGGGAATCTGAGACAGTTGAAAGTGCTAATATGCAACTTTCATATTGGAACATGATGTCTTAGAGAAGAAAGTACAGACTTTAATTCAAACTCTGAGTTTAAATTCTACTTGTCAAATTACTTAAGCTCTCTAAGGCTCATTTCTTCATTGGTAAGATATAATAACATTCTCTTCCAGGATGATGGGAGATCATGGTCTAATCTATGGGTAGGGCTCAACAGAGAGTACCTATCGTTACTATTATTTATCTAATTTACCTGGTACCTTGCGTGATACAGGGCACAAAACCAGCAAGGCATGTTTATTAGGCTGTTTCTGGGGTTCAGGGTAGATCATGGCAGAAGTACGGTAAGCATCAGGATATTGGGAAAGGAGCGAGGATCCCTGCTCAACTGAGAGGTCAGTCTACCCCTGGAGCTACAGGCTGCACAAAGCTGGAAGAGTTACTGGATCCAGATGTAACCACCATGGAGAAGAGTATTGGTGGAAACAGTATTGGTGGAAGGGAGTATACAACATCCTCCTCCATTTACAATCGAGGAAGTGTAAACTTAAGAGAGCTGCCCTTGTGGTTCATTGTGATGTAGCAAGGAAATGGTGACTTTGGGTTCAGGTTGCTGCTCAGTGCGTGGCCCAAGGTGTGGGTCACTGAGTTAGATGGCAGTCCTTGAACCTGACTGAGGTCTGGCACCTCCCCTTGTTCATCTGAGTCAGTCTGTACAGGATGACCTGCCTATGAGGCCAGCTAACTGGATCCCACAGGCCTTCTCAGAAGGTTCTTCAGTGACTCTTCCCAGAATATTGCAGAGCCTTGAACCCTCTGTGGCACAGTTGTCCCTCAGTTCAGACAACCTCCCATGCTGAGGACTTCTGTGGGGGAACCTGAGCCATCTTGGATTCTGTGTGCAGGTTTCAGGATGTGCTACCCTGCTGTTCCTCAGGCTCCCCATTTGGGCTGTCCTGGTATGTCTTATGAAGCATGTGATGTGCTGCTGAGGCTATGATGAGAGTTCTTTAAAGTTCACTTTTGAAATAAGGACATGAAGTTACCTGGAACACTAGGCTCCCAGCTTGCTGAGCTCTGCAGCTCTCTGTGGGACTGGCTGCTGCCGTCAAAAAGAATAGAGCCGTCATTCTGCAGGAGGGTTTCTTCTATGATAATAGGGTTTTTGCCTCTCAGTAATTGGAAAGGTGCTAATCTAGTGACTCATGAGCTACACAGAAGGAAAAAACTCACCTTGGAAATGAAACTGCATCATGTTTTCTGAGTACCCTGTCTCCTCATTTCTAGGGAAAAGCACACTGGGGCTTAGCTGCATAGAGCAGAGCCTCATTGTTCTGATAACCCTGCTGAGTAACCTTTGACTCCTCCCACCTTCTCCCCAAGTGGTCCAGTGATACCAACAGCAGGCAGGAGTGGGCATTAGCCAGATGGCTGGGTCAGCAAACCTGTACTCAGGCTGCAGGGAAGGAGAGCTGGCCTATGGATATGCAAAGGAGAGACTCATGACTACCTTAGTGATGCACATACGTGTGTTCAAGCTTGGGTCTATGTGCATATGTGGGTAGGTTGACTGTATGAGCTTGGAGTGAGTATATGAAAGCCTTTGTTTATATGCAAGTGTGTGTGTGTGTGTGCGCGCGCGCTCGCACAGGAGCGTGCGCGTGGATGCACACACGTGCAGATATGCTGTGACCTAAATGTTGTTGCTTCTGTTCTGTTGCCTTGAGTTCTAAATACCTCTCCTTTTTCCATCCAGGTTTTATCCTTCGAGCTAGAGGTACCTGGGGTAGAAGCCTGAGCAGGAACTTGCTACCTCCTGGAGAGTAGCTGGAGTATCTGTTGGGTTCATGTTGGAAACAGGAAGCCACTTCATTTGTCCCTACAGGGGCATTTGTCCCTACAGGGGCATGCGACTCTTCCTCTGCCTCCCATAGAGCCCCTGATCTTGGTGCTCACCAGGACCTTGGGGCCCACCAGGACCTTGGGGCCCAGAAGGACAGAGAGTCCTTCCAGCTGTGGTCTCCTGCAGCTCCTCCTGGCTGGGGCTCCCAGTCTGAGTCACAGGCCCCTGAGGCTCTTCACTCCTCCCCCTCCCACTCCCTTCATTAACTTCATTGTAGCTAATAATCCTGCCAGCAATTCCATTATTTCCTTTTAATTCCAATTTCCTTTTGTCCCAAGGGGCAAATCAGCCGAGTGAAAATAGTGAAATGCCAGGCTCAGTCTCCCAGTATTAATTAGGGAACCATTAATGTGGTGATTAAAACACACCTCAGTATCAGGGTGCTGTGCCCTCTTCCCCCTCCTTTCCTTTTTTTCTTTCCTTAGCCCCAGCCAGAATTGGAAGAGCAGACTCAAGACAAAAATAGGTGGCTGGGGAGTGGGCATCATTGGGTTCTGGTGGGCATCACTGGGTTCTGGTGGGCATCTCTCAGAGGTGCTTTGCCATAAGGCAAATCCTGGAGGAGGAAGCTGCCCTGTCACCACTTTATATTCCAGGGCTGGAAACCTGCCAGTTGTCCAACCTCCACTTTCTCCACCAGCTTTCTCATCAGATCTGTCACCAACTGACATAAATTAACCTCCTGAATATGCCTCAAATCCTTTCATGGTTCTCCCTTCTGAGAGCCACTGTCTCGTGCACCCCACCATTAGCTGCCACCTAGGTGGTTGCTGCTATAGTTTGGATATTGAATGCCCCTCCATGTAATATGTCCTTACATGTTTCCATCACTTTTTTTTTTTGGTACCGGGGATCGAACTCGGGACCGAACTTGGGACCTTGTGCTTGTGAAGCAGGCGGCAGCACCACTGAGCTACATCCCCGGCCCATATGTCCTTACATGTTAAAAGCTTGGTCCCTAGCCCAAGGTGGTATTCAGAGGTATTGAAACCTTTAAGAAGTGGAGTCTAATTGGAGGAAGTTAGGTCACTGAGAGTGTGGCTTGGAAGGGGATACTGAGACAACTCCCTTCTTCTTCCTCTCTCTGTTTGGCTCCTGGTAGCCATGAAGCAAGCAACTTCCTTTGCCACACACTTCTCCCATGATGTGTGAACTCATCACAGACTCAAAAGCAACGAATAGGTCAACTGACCATGGACTGAAATCTCTAAAACTGTGAGCCAAAAATAAACCTTTTCTCCT